AAGCAGTACGCAAACGCTCAGAGGGCGCTGGAATTCGGAACACTGAGTGACATTTGGTTGGAACGGCTAGACTGAGGTGTAAGTTGACTGGTGGCCTCTGAAGGTCAGGCTGCTGTCTAAGTCATTTGTAGAGACAAATATCGTTATCTTTTCTTGATGTGTAAATCTCCCTTAACGAAATCTAGGTTCCTCACTGGATGAAGATTGAAGTTTCTCTTGATGCCAGCAAATGGCAGGTTTGGTTTCTTGATTTCCACCCCACAGTGGCCATCAAATGAATGACTGCGTGGTTGTTAGGTAGGGATGTTGGCCACCCTACAGCCGGAGGTATGGTTCCATGCTGGTATTGGTTTCCCAAAGAGCTCCTGGACTTCAGCTCTTGGTGAAGTTTATTTATTTTTTATTTTTATATTTTAACTTCTGATTGGTCAGTTAATCAAGTACTTCCTTCTTAAAAGAAGAACTCACTGGTTTTCGTTTGGAAGATTTGGGCATATTGCTTCCTGGGAACACCCAGTAGACCTCCTAAATAACCTTGAACGCCCATGGGCTAGCCTGGCGGTTGTTAGCGCTCATGGGGTTGGTTAGTCAGCTGGCCAGACTGGCATCTGCAAAGGCAGCGAAGGCTGCAAGAGGAAAAGCTCTTTCCTTGCGCTGGTTCAAACCGAGACTGCTACCCAAGGCCTTTCCTGGCCTCTAGGCCTGGTGCCTAGGATTGTTCCTGTCAGATTCTGGGACTGCACTGGAGGCCGACAGTGCCGAGATGGTTATAACTTCCTAGAGATGGATCAGAGTGCAGCGCTGGCACGGAATTCTGCATCCATCTACTGTTGGAAAGGGATGGACATATTTTACACACATCTTGTGTCCTCTGTTTGAACTCCCTGACTTCTCAGGACAACCGGATGTCAGCTGTCACAGCTGCTGTTTTTGGTTAGTGACACACACTCTTAATGACTGCAGGATGAGGCTTCTGCCATGCTCCCGGAGGGCACAGCGAAGGCCTGTGGTGTTGGCTCACTAAGAGGAGCTCATTCTGGCAGCGCAGCTGTCGGGAAGGAAGGGCTGAGGTCTGGTGACTGACAGGAGGATGCTGAACTAGGACAGGTGAAAATCAAGGGGACCAGAGCCCGGAGAGATGGCTCAGTACTTAAGAACACCGACTGCTCTTCCAGAAGACCAGGGTTCAATTCCTAGCAGCGACAATGCAACTCACAACTGTCTTTAACTTCAGTTCCAAGGGACCCAACACCCATGCAAAATACCAATGCACATAAAAGCAAACACTAGATTTGCTTGAAACAATAACAACAACAACTGCATCTGGCGTCTGTGCTGAAGTCTGAGTCCCATATTGCCACCAAAGGTCACACAGAAGCCCAGGGTTGAGGCCACAGCCTGAAGATTTAAATGATGTCTAGGGTAAAAGTTGCAGCCATAACCACCCCGACCTGAGTGTCAGGGCTTCCACCCAGAGCCAGGATGTCTAGGCCAAGCTGCTGCAGAGGGCCATGTCTGGGTTAGTGGTCCAGCTACAACTGGGGTCTGGGTTGATATCTATGGACCATGTCACCTCAGGGGTCCTTAGGAACTATGAGAGATAAAATTGGAGGGCCATGCTGAGATGGCCGCACCCTTTGCTGGCCCAGAGAAAGCTGGCCTTGCCTGTCTGGACATTAAGCAAGAAAGCTGGCTCAGGCCCTCACAGGAGAGCTGGCCCCAGCACTCAGGAGAGATGGCCCCACCCATCACCTCACCAGAGTGACCTGACCCTGAGGGTATGGGGATAGAGGAGCTGACTCTGCCCCCTGACCAGCTCAGCTACCATCCAGGCCCACATCTGGGCTTTGGGTTGGCCCACCCAAGCTAGCATCTACCCCATCTAGGATCTGCTGGAGCTTGTGAAAATACTGGTCCTGTGCAACAATACCTGCAGGATCTCCATGACTCCAGGTTTGCAGCCATGGGATATGGCAGAGGAGTTCCTGTGAAGATACAGTGATGATGGTGTACCAGAAACCACCTCAAGTATTTCAACGTAGCAGTCAATACAGTGGCCATCCTCATCATCAGATGGCTCTCATCAAGGATGCTAGGAAGGGAGTCATGCATTAGCTTGAGTTTTGGTAAAATTGAATTTGCTTTAAAGATTTATTTTTATTTTTGTGTATATGGTTGTTTATATATATGTGTGTGTGTGTGTGTGTGTGTGTGTATGTGCACCATGTGGGTGCCTGGTACTCTGTTGCCACAATGACACCTTTTCAAAAGAATCTGGAAGCAAGGCCCTTCAAGTCAACGTTCCATATGGTATGCGTGTTGGAAGGGTTATGGCAGAATTGTGAGAGTGTTCTGGCCAACTTCCTACACAAGAGGAGATGGGGAAAGGAATTGAGGAAGGAAGGGAGACTGGAGAGAAGGCTCAGCATTTAAGAGCACTGGCTGCTCTTCCAGAGGACCCAGGTTCAATCCTCAGCACCCACATGGTAGCTCACCACCAACTGTTATCCAGTCACAGGGGCGATCTGACTCCTTCCTCTTACCTCCGAGGGTATCAGGTACACATAAAGTGCACCGATACACATGCAGGAAAAACACCCATATGTGTAAAATAAAAATAAATAAATATAAAATTAAAAACCCAGGAATTTAAGAAGAGGAACAGCCTTCAACTGTTAATCATGCTTTCTTTCTTACCAGGATAGTGGGAGTTAGCCAACCTTCTTGAACACTGTTTAGTCCGTTTTTTTTTTTTGTGAGAAAGTGAGCATTGTAACTGTGTTTTTGTTAAAGTTATTGTCTAAACTCACTTCAGTCAATTGCTCATCTCTCTTTTCTCTCTGTTACTGTCAACATAACAATTACAGTCAACATGTTTTACCCACAGGAAGGCAGCGAGCTGTTTATAGCACAACAGTGTGAAAGCAACGTTTGTTTTCCGAATGTCATGTATAAGTATTCTTCTGTCATTTGCAGCGACGACGGGAGAAGGACAGCATGCTGGAACTCTCTGGCTGTCACCCAGCCTGCATAGAGGAATTTACGATGCCTGCACATTAGCGTCAGCGGGCACTTTGCTGGGAGCTTTCCTTGGAACCGTATCTTTTTATTATAGCTATTTGCAAGCAGTCATTGATACATTTATCATTTCTGGGGTTTAATACAATTGCATCTCGGGCAATCTGAAATCAATAAAGTTTTAGATGGGATGTGCCAATTGGATAATGAAAGTGATTTGGACACATAGACATTTGTAACATTTGGGGAACTCATTCTTGGTGAATAATGTGGAGACTGCGGGCTGTTGTTGCCAGTGTAAACAAGCCCCTGGGTCCTAAAGAAATAAGTGGGTTATTGGGAGCACCACAGGGAGGCTGTTCTTCTCTTAACCCAGAGATTAACACATAAAGATTCTATTTGAGCATCAGAATGTCCCCGAAGGCCAGTGTTGGTCTTCTTTACACACGCGTAGCATAGAATTCTAGTCTTATTTTGCTTTTATTTGTTTTGTGTGTGCACAAATGTGTGTATGCTATGATGTTCAGGTGCGTAGTTCAGAGAACAACTTATGGAGATTTCTTTCCTTCCAGCTTGTGGGTCCCAGGTATTGAACCCAGGTCTTCAGGCTGGCTGGCAAGTGGTTTTACCTGCTGAGCCAACTCACTGGCCCTCAGGATGCTAATGTTACAAGGGCCCCTATATCTGTCTGATGGTCGGACACCTAAACTTACAACCAAGAGGATAAATGACTTCTTCAGGAGCCACCTCCTCACCCTCTCTTGATCAAAGTCTCCCCATTTAATTCTCTTGCTTTGTCATTTCTATGATCCTTTCAAGACCTCAGAACTCCTCAGGGTTAATTTAAAAGATGCCAAAGCCACAGTAATGGCTTCCCCGGTGGAAAAACTGCACAATGAGTCTTCCACCACTTTCCATGATCACTGAAATTTGTAGGGAAGTTGTTTAAGATCCGTAGGCCAAGGTCATAATGATCTTCCAATAGAGTTGTTATGAAGAACAAATAGGTAACAGGTGCAAGGCATCTAACATGTGTTTACTCCTGGGTCTTCCACTCTGAGAGCAAGCATCCAGGTGTGTTTGCGGCTAAGGTAGTTTACAGGTGTTGACATCCACGAAGGTCCCAGTCAACATCTTTTGATGCTGTTTGTGTTTTTTGTTTTTGCTTTTTTTTTGGTTTTGTTTTTCTACATTCTTATCTAACCCAACAACTGGGATTTTTTTTTTCTTTTTTTCAGTACTGTGGATTGAACCTAGAGTATCCTGCAAGTCAGGCAAGTGTTTTACTTTTGAAATACAGCCCCAGGTCTTAGGTTATTTAGTGAAAACAATCTAAAGAAGATAAAAATAATACACGTCATATGTCGTCATGTGTGTTCCACCCGTGGATCACTTGAAGGGAAGCCCGGGGAACATTTAAGGTTGCAAACTTCAGCCCCACAGTCCTGAAGATTCCTCGCCCATCTTGACAAATACATTTTAAAGAAAGAAGTAAAAATAAGTAATTTTCTGCGGTGTTTTGCAAATGTTTATGATATTACATATTACGTTAGGTGTCAGAAAAAGGGATTTTCTTTATAGTCTAATAAGATGTCTTCAAATATAGTAATTAGAATTGTTCAAACAGCCACAGGCATATCTGTTTTGAATGCAAGAAGTATTTGAATCTTGTGATTGAATTGGTCTTAAAAATTTTTAATCACACGTTTGAAGTCCTGAGTACACCCTAGGCGTTTACTTGCTTATGAAAAGTCAGACTATGAATTACACCATTCTGCTCCCCCCGTTACTTTCACCTTCCATCCCACAAATGACTTGTGAAATTTTGCAATTACCTAAAAAACATCAATGCTATGTTACAAAAGGTACTTAAATATAGATGAGAAAGATAGATGTTTGTCTTCTTAGATACTGATATCAAATAAAGGATGGAATGTCTTTATTGAAAACCAACCCCTCTTCCCCCCCTCCCCGCCAACAGAACGAGTAAACATCAGTGTGGAGAAAGGCTTCCTTTAACTCTGTTATTCAGTTCAAACGCGTGTTAGGAAAATGTCTGTTCTGCATATAAAATATACAACAAAAAGGGAATAGTGAATAGAAAAATAAAATATGTAGAGGAGACAAAGATTCTGCACACGTGGCTTTAAAACTCCAACAGGCAACAGTTTTCAGGAGACTATACATTCGATCACTGAAACATAAATCCCCACAGAGTAATATTACAACACTGTAATTTGCCGTAAGAGACGAACCCAATGCAACGAACTCACCAGTCTTTACCACGTAAACGTTGGCTTCTAACAGACCAGAGGAAATGGAGTTAAGATTTCACATAAGTATCTTTGCAGCTGAGACTTTTGTGCATTGCCATGGAATACCTACCGACACCCCGTCAGTTCAGCAGGAGCAAACTCACCACCTTTGTCTCCCACACAGTAGCAGGGTCATAGATGGAAAAGGGCTCTGTTCGGAAGACATTATAGAGCTGGAGATCATTTTAAAAATCTGAAGTAGCGAATAAAAAGTAATGGAAGAAAAGAATCTGGCTTCCTCTCTTCATTACAACACTATAGTAACAATTAAAAAAATTTTTTTAAACATGCTTTAGTCAGGAAACCACCCTTGCTACAGTCACTTGCTACAGGACTCGATATAGAATAAGAAAAAAAAAAAAACCACGTTTTTGGCTGTAGCTTTAGTAAACAACAAATGAAGAAAAATCTGGTCTTCAAGAGGTCTGGAAACTCAGAACACAGACCTTGTCGCGTGGACAGTGCCTCCATTCTGCCACAAGACTTAGCGATGAGTAGCTGAGCCCAATTCTGGTGGAAAAAGAAGGACTGACTAGTTCCAGCATCAAAACAAGATAATGAAACCACCGACTGACAAAGAACAGTTAATTCTCCTGAATAATAATGACATCATGTTTGCATATAAGACAGCATCTGCGTTATTGCTCTACTTAGAATAATAATACAGTAAGGAACCCATAACAGACTGCACGTTAAAAACTTAAGGTTCTTTGGTGAAGAATGAAAGAAAACAGTATTTGAGCTTTAAAGAAAAATATCTTATCCATGATTTTTCTTTTATCTATTGATCCGTTGGATCCTCTCACAGAGCAGGGAGAGGTACTGAGTGAGTTTCACCATGGCAACAATTGCCACGCCCCCAGCCATCATACACGTGGGCCAGAAGAGAGAATGGAACAGCACATTGGAGCTGTAGAGTTTGGTCAGGATGACACTCTTCTGGTTTCCTTCCGGGTCAGAATAGCAGGGGAAGTGTTGGTGTCTCCTGAAGTTCTCCATGACGACACTCACCAGGGACATAGACTCTTCAAAGTTGTTTCCACACTTAGGGATATAGGAGCACTGTGAAGAGCAAGGTGGACAGTCACCAACAGAGCCAGGCGGATAGTAGTCAACCTAGCTTTATCGGAGAGACAATCATGGTGGTTCACTTTTGTATATTTAAACTAAGGTCTCCCAAGACCAGAGAGGGCACATACTGATAAAAGCCATGTTTCGGGATTCCTAGATAAAGTTTGCCTTAGTAACTCATCCATAAATTACTTAGCTGTTGATTAAAATCTGATTATGAATTGTTTGTTTGATATAACAATCTCACATCACATATGTAGAAAAAGTAAGTAGTACTTTTTGCTATCGCTAAGCATACTTGTCCAGGGGCTCAGAGGGAAAATCTTCCTGAGTTTTGTCTGCCCGCATGATATAAAACATTGCTATAACAGACTGTGATGTCAACTTGACTGGATTTAGGGTCACCATGGAAACACTTGTGGGAATGTCTGTGGCAGTGTTTCCAGAAAGGTCTACCTCAGGAGGCCTACATGGAAGGTAGGTGGCCTGTGTACCTTGGCTGGGGTGCCAGACTGAATGAAAAAAATAGGAGCTGAGCGCAACTCTCCAGTTCTCTCTGCTTCATGACTGTGGCTTCAATGTGATGAGCCCCTTACTCCCTCTGCCCACAACCGACGGTGCCACCCCTAACTGTGACCCACACCGTGACCCCAGGCTGCAGGTCCATCCTTCCTTAGGTCACTTTTGTCAGGAATTTTGTCACAACAAAATGAAAAGTAATTAACACAATGCCAGTATAGAAGAGTAATTTATGAAAATATGTTTGTTTTGACTACATGATATTCAACCAAACTACCTTGGGCATCTTGTTAAGAAGGTGAATCCAAAGACAAACACATAGGCATCCTCATGAATATTAACCTTCATCAGGCGATGAAAGGAGACAGAGACAGAGACCCACATGGGAGCACCGGACAGAAATCTCAAGGTCCAAATCAGGAGCAGAAAGAGACGGAGCACGAGCAAGGAACTCAGGACCACGAGGGGTGCACCCACACACTGAGACAATGGGGATGTTCTATGGGGAACTCACCAAGGCCAGCTGGCCTAGGTCTGAAAAAGCATGGGATAAATCCGGACTAGCTGAACATAGCGGACAATGAGGAATACTGAGAACTCAAGAACAATCGCAGTTGGTTTTTGATCCTACTGCACGTACTGGCTTTGTGGGAGCCTAGGCAGTTTGGATGCTCACCTTACTAGACCTGGATAGAGGTGGGCAGTCCTTGGGCTTCCCACAGGGCAGGGAACCCTGATTGCTCTTCGAGCAGATGAGGGAGGGGGACTTGATTGGGGGAGGGGGAGGGAAATGGGAAGCGGTTGCGGGGAGGAGGCAGAAATCCTTTATAAATAAATAAATAAATTAATTAATTAAAAAAAAGCAAAACAAAAACTTCAAATCAAGTCAAAACAAACAAACAAAAGCCAGCTACAGCTTTGGTGGATCTTGGAGAATTCAGAGAGTCTGAGCAGAGAGGCCTGTGAGGAAAGGGACAGCCTCTGCTTGCCAAGCGAGCACCTTCCTGACAGCCAGGGAACAGCAAGCAGGATGGCAACGGAGTGCACTCTCTGACCTGAGGACCCAACGCTGTTTTGATTGGCTCATCTCACAGAGATCTCTTGTGTTCTGTCCCTTCTACCTCTCCCCCTCTTTTTTGACACCGTCATACGAGGCAGCTTGTGGGTAGTACGTATGCATTGGTATGAGATGTGGACTGGGACTCTGGAATCTGGGAGAGATTTCCATCTATAAATCTCAGGGAGAAAAATTACAAACAAGTTAAGTTTTAGCTAGTGCAGCCTTGTTTCTCTGGAACAGTTTTTTTTTTTCTCTGACTTATCAGCAGCACCAGGAACTTGTGTAGCTGTAACCATGGGGTTTTTGAGGTTTCTAAATAGCAGAAGTTTCTCTGATTAGTTAAGAATGGAAGATGAGCATTCTGGCAGTGCTTTGGCATGGGGCTGAGGATGAGCTCTGAATGCAGCCCAGTGCCTTATATCCTGACTCAGAACCCTGAGTGTGTGCACGAGCAAGTGCAAGTACACATGATTTTATTTTATTTTGGTAACTCCATTGCCTGACTCTCAAGCGCGAATGCTGTAGATGACAGCACCGTGTCACAGTGGCGTGAAAAGGATGAGCACACCTCTCACCATGCTTAATATGACGCTCCTGTCGCAGAGATGGAGTCAACACACTTTAAAACGTGACCAGCTATGAGTCAGTGCCCATTCATGGACACACGTGAACCCAGTAGAGTGCTGGACTCAGCCTGGGACTGGGGTGGGGAAGAAGGCTGAGAGTATCTCCAGAGAAAGTGATAATTCGGAGTGATAAAGGGCCAAGGGTTTGGCCAGCGGGATGGTACCTTTCAGGCGGTCATGGGACTCTCTGTTGGTCGCAGAGCTGTTCATACAGATCAGGGCTTCAAGAGTTTGAGGCAATGTTTCTTGAAGCAAACAATTTTAACAACAACAAAGCAAAGTGAACACAGATAAGCCTTCTATGGCCGGATGCAGGCAGAGCCGATCTGTATCATAAAGGTATCGGGTCTTGGTATGTTTTTGTGCTTACATGGAAGTAAAATAAAATATGGCATGCCATTAAAAAATTGAGCTTTTCTTTATTTTCTTCTGCTATGGTGAATCAATTCAACTTTTTTTTTTTAAAGAAACATCTGTCAGGCAAATGACAATAATTCTGTCACTAGGTAAGATTCTTCCAAACAAAACAAGATATAAAGTAGCTCTGAGACCATCTGGCAAAGTTGTCATACAGGAGCTTCTTATTCCAGTTTAAAGCTGACAGCTGAGAGGTGTGGGTATGGTCCGACTGCACTCTACACACGCTCGCCCTCAGGTACTCTGTGTCAGGGGCAACATACAGATGTGAGTGGCAAGAGTCTGGGGTGCTCTGAGCCCACCCGATGTGGTTATCTGCCCCTTTCTGTTTCTGCCCATGAAAACTCTACATATGTCAACTGTTCATTTCTTTTTCTTGTCGACAGATCCCTTGTGATAAGGAATGGATGAGGTCGTATAACAAGTTCCTGACTTGAGTTCATGTGGTCCGGTGGCTATAGGCATGTGGCCCTCAGAACCAATTTCATCTCCGTAATGAGGTTAATCGAGACTTCCCGGCAGCTATCTTTCAGAATTAGATGATGAATATGCATAAGGCTTCCATAAATTTTTATTAGCACATTTTCCTACTAGAATATCACATTTTCCCACACGCTCTTCTAAAGTCTTTAACCGAGTGCCACATACTAAGTTACAGAAGTTCTAAAGAGGGCTGAACAGCTGTGGGGTTCTGACAGGGTCACCTTGCCTTGTGGCAAGGTGAACCGGATTCTACCTTAGGACGTGGGTGTTTACTTCTGGTGTTCCAGCTTTAGTCCTGTGTATTCTCCGGAAGTGAGTATGGATTCCAAGCAAAGATTTAGCTATTGTGCTGTACCCAGATGCTTGCTACAGAAGTGGGTAGAACAAGGAACCATGACTTAATTATCACCTGCCTACATCGTGTATTTGCGGGGTCATTTTATGTGAGTGGTCTAGAATACACAGAGCACGGTTCAACAAATTATATCTGACTACTATACAATCTACACTTAATTTAGAAATTATAACATGATCACGAGAATAAAGACCTCATCCTTTTTAGGCAATTGTTTTATTTAGTGGGTATGGATGGGATTGGAAAGATTTAACTTTTAGACTGTGAATGATATATAACAGAAAGGTAGTGATCAAAGTATGTAAATACTGTTACCAGGAGGATGCATTAATTTTTCAGATTGTCAGTCAGCAGAGAACTGAGGAATCTACTTTGTGTGTGTGTGTGTGTGTGTGTACATGTACATCTATTTGTGTATATATTGGTTTGTGTGCACATGTGCATATCCTTGTATGTGGAGGCCAAAGATTGATGTTGTATGTCTTTCTAATCATTTTCTACAATTTTTTTTGGTGCCAGGGTCTCTCAAGGAACCTGGAACTCACTGATAGTCTAGACCTGCTGTCTAGCAAGTCCCCGGGATTCTCCTGTCTCCACTGTCAATACAGGTGCACCACGTTTATGTGAACTGAACTCAGGTCCTTGAGCTTGCAAGGCAAGCACTTTCCTGACTGAGCTGTCTCCCCAACCTTGGTGGTCTCTTATTTTTTCATTTTATTTATATTATATTTTATATTTTTTCAGATTTTTATGCATTATATTTTTAGCATAATTACTCCCATTCTTCAAATCCTCCCAGATCCATTCCCTATTCAATACTCATCTAACTTTGACTCCTCATCTTTTTAATTACTTCTCTTATTTTTTGAGATTATGATATAATTATAAACCAGGCGATGGTGGCTCACGTCTTTAATCCCAGCACTTGGGAGGCAGAGGCAGGCGGATCTCTGTGAGTTCGAGACCAGCCTGGTATACAGAGCTAGTTCCAGGACAGGCTCCAAAGCCACAGAGAAACCCTGTCTCGAAAAACCAAAAAAAAAAAATATATATATATAATTATAACATTTATATAATAATAACATTTCTCCTCCTTGGTCTCTTTCAAATGTGTGACATCTTTTTTCATTAGTTATTATTACATGTATATATGTATGTACATTTATATTCCTAAATAGAACCTGCACAATCTGTGTAATGTTACTTTCATGCATGTTTTCAGGACTGAGCATATGGTGTTGGATAGCCATGTGCTCTTCCCTGGGGGAGACTATTTCTCCCGCTCTCAGCATCCCTTAACTGCCTACAGTTCTTTATTTAAGGTTGAGGCCCCATAGTCTTTCACTGTCTATGTTAGCATGTATGTTGCTGTCCTTGGTCAGCTCATCTTTGGACAGCTGTGTTGGTGGGACTTCATGGATGCAGATTTTGATATTCCTAGGAGACACAATCTCAAAGCAGACTCCCTGATCCTCTGACTCCTACAATCTTCCTGCCCCATCTTCTGAGCCTTGGGTGTAGGAATTGTTTG